CACACTGTTAAGTTCTTCTTTCTCATCTCACAATAGACTCCTGACACTCATTTCTTGATCATGATTAAGCTCTCTGACTTGAGAGATTCAGATATAACAGCTAAATTGTTGCAAAATCCTAGCTGTGACACCACCAGTATTGCTCTTTCCATTTTGTACTTCAGAAATATTTTTAAGCAAAATAATACATAATAAAATGTTCAAAAAAGAGAAACCAGGAAATTGATCAAGTATCTTCTTTAGTAAATTGACTGCTGAGAAGAAAAAAAAACTTCAACAAAGCAACTGCCAGAAAATTAGCCTAAAACTGAAATGAAAACAATCATAGGCTACCACTTTATTTTGCCATATGTTACATAGGCTTTTAAAATCTTGCAATTTCTAAAATAAGCCACTGAAAGCCTTAAATAGTGCTCAGAGTGAGAAATGAACATTTTGTGGTGTTATACATTTTTGTTGCTGTTGTTAAGTGTGGTGCTGAAAATGAATATTCTCAACCACTGAACTGATAGCATTTTATTTGCAGCCTACTATGTTTACCCTAGTGGGTTACAGCCATCATCTTTTGCTATTGACACCTAGGAAAAAAATTTTTTTTCAGTTCCAAGAAGAAATAGTGATGGAAGAATTCATGTGGTTGTGTTTTTCCAGTTTGTGCAAGTATTTCTCTAACAAAAACTCAAAAGCAAATCTCTAGAAATCTAAAACAGAAAAATGTAATGAAAATGCATTTTGGGAAAGCTAAATTATGTTTTCAACCTAATGCCTGCAATGTTTTATCTTTTAACCTTAGGAAAATTTTACTAATCTTTTGGTGCCTTAAATTCTGTCTGGTCAAATAAGTTTTTAATCCCCCTTTTCCCTTGAAGACTATAGTTTTTTTTTTTATTTTTACTTGTTTTGTGAAGATGCAACATAGTTAAAAACTATTAGTTGAGCATCATCTTTATGTTTGTGAACAGCTTCTAATAAGAAGAAATAAGATCAGGGTAATGAAAGGAAGGAGGTACTTTCAACTTTTATTTTCCCTTTTTTTTTTTGTTTTTAAATTTCATCTATAAGAGATTTTTATTATGCAATTTTACCTCCCAGTAAGCACACTTATAAACACGTATAGTATTGTTTGGGGGCATTATTTCATTTTTAAATAGACTGAACAATCCTTTTGCTCACCAATGCATGATGCAAAGTGCTTCATTTTTGAACTATTGATGATTCCCTTAAACAAGTGTGTATTTTTGACAGATGTTTAGCATAGATCAACTTCAGATTTATATTGCCACCAGAGAGATGCCGAACGTCTGGCATTTTGGAACATGAACCTTTCTTGACTTATTTAAGGATAATAAATGTATTTACATGACTGTGCTTCTGAATGTTGTCCTAATAGACTCAGACTAAAGAATCTGAGGGTAACTTAAATATCCATTCATTCTCCTGCTTCGCTGGAATGACTCTCTAATCTTTGTTTTTCCCTGTTAGCTATTCTTCTAATTCATTACCTAATTGCCTAAGATATAAAGAGGCATTTTGCCTAAATGAAGCAGCATCAGTAAAACGAATGAGGCTAGACTTTGACTATGATATCCATTCTAGGACTTAATCACTTATCCACAGAAGATTATCTCTGAAAGGCCCTATTCCCTCTTCTGTTTCTCTCCAACAACACGCCCTTACATAATCTAAAGGCAATTTATTTGATTTGCATTTTAATGAAAGTAAGCTTATGCATGGGAAAGTTTGTAAAGTTTAAAGTCACATGGCAGGTAGCTTTTTTTTAGCATTAAAATGTTACCTGAGCCTCCTACCCTAGATTTCTCTTTCAACAATACTTGGAAAAGAGTTTTGCTTGACTAAATAAAATTAACTCCCAACTGCTTTTCTGTAAAACAGGAAAAAATATACCCACAAGCTTCCAGGAGGATAATCAGAAACTACTGCCAGATTTTGTTGGAGATTCTGTAGCAAAGGGCATCACAGGATGAAGATAAAATAAGCAGGTGTAGCTACACTTTCCCCAGATCACTCTCCTATTGGCTATTACTCATTAGCTATTTAATAGAAATTTCATTCCTCTGATTCTGTTCCTAGGTTGTGTCACTGCGCCTACCAGGGTCCCCATAGAAAATGCAAGGTAACTAAGGTGGGGTTTTAAATATAGTTTAATGAGGAGAGTAGTTACAAAGATGGGGAAAGGAACCAATGAAGAATACTGAAGCATGCTGGCAAAGCACAAGCAAACGATATTGAATGGAGTTGTGGGGATAAAACTCCAGACGCAGAATCCCTGATCAGGCTGACCCTGTGAAAGCAGCAAATGCAACTCAGTCTCCCCCTGGTACTTCGGGGACCCACTGGATAAGCAATGTGCAACTTGCTGGCTGTGCTAGAGAAAATATGGAGACCTTAACATACCCATCCAGCTGGAAGAAAAGATGTTATCTTCTGGCCACATACCAATAATCCTCATGTTAGAAGTCACAAGTGGTGGCAGGTCATGCAGGGGACACCAGTCCAAAACACTGACAGCCCCATGTTTGCAGTGAAGAACCCCTCCATCAAGCTTTCTTCCTTCCTACTACAAATTTCACAAGGTTTCCTCATCAGCTCTGCAGAGGTACCCTCCAACTATGCCAGGGACCTAGACAGTTCATTGTTCACAGTTTTGTTGCCATTAGAGCAAAATGTAAGATGCTTTTAAAATCTTAATCTTACATACTGCACTTCTAATCAATCTCTCTCTCTCTATTTGCAAAAAACACAAGTTCTTGTATGAAAAAACAAAACAAAACAAATAAACAAACAAAAAGATCTGAGCGTAAAAGAGTAGAGAAGCAATCAGCAAGAGCCTGACAAAAGCTGGAGCCATGGAAGTTCCTGGAACAAGCTATAATTTTAGAGGGAGAACAGGACCAAAACCATAGAGCCAAAGCTTGGAGCAGGGCACAGGAAAGAATCCATCCTGTCTCCTCCTCACTCTAATCTCCCATTGGCCAAACTCAGCCAGAAGCAGAAGGTCAAAGAAGAGGCAAAGCAGCAGGGCAGAATTTATTGGGGGAGAAGCAGCAGTCAGAGAAAACCCAATTAGGTTATTAAAACTGTAGTCATTTTGTAAATCAAATCACATTATAAAGTCAAAATGGTGATTGTCAACTTTAAAAAAAATGAGACGTGAATTCTCATTTTAGGCAAATTTTCAATCATTTTATTTTAAAAATATTTTATATTAATATAAAAATCTCTGAATTTATAAACATCATATAAAGTAAGACTAATTTTCCTGAGTAAAAGATTTCTATTTTTCCTTTTAGAAAAAGACTGTGAAAAACAATAGCTTCAACTTCTTCAGCTAAAAATTACTTAATGTTATAACTGACCTCTATCTGCTACTACAGAGCTACAGTTCTAATTTCATAGCATTGAATGGTCCTTCTGTTAGCAAATCTCCTGATTCAAGGTGGAGCACATTTTCTTAAGTTCTATGTAATATATATAAAGCCATATATAATTGCTACATAACAGAGCATCTAATTTAGAGGTTTGTTTCTTTCACCCTTTTTTCACCCTTTTGCTCTTCTCAATTACTGAGTATAATTGGCTTTAGGAAAAGATAAAAATTAGGCACTATAAAATTATAGATATACACCCATATATTATATGTATATCTATAAATACATCATATAACCACCACCAGATAAAGGTAGAGAAAATTAAAATTTCACTCAGGATTGGTCAGCCTAGCTTATAAGAGAATTCTGACAACGAATCGCTCATTTTTCAGCTCAGGAAAGCTTGGGCTTCCTTATCCCTGCCTGTTGTACACAGTCAACCTACAACATCCTGCTGAGACACAGCATCCAGTGTTCAGCTCACAGCCCATAGAGCATGGCACAGGTAGAGTGAAAAACAAACAGAAATCCCCATTTGGCAACTCTCACAATAAAAGTGGTTCCGGCAAAAAACATCCACAGATGTCCAGAAGTGAAAGTGCAATGAGGAACAAGATATTTACCTGGTCTCAAAGTATTTATTAATTATACAATATACACACAAATTACAAAAGAAAAAGTAACTTTAAAATGCAGAAACTTGACAGAAAAACCCAACTGATGAGAGCTAATATTGTCATTAATTCTCCCTGATATGATGAACTGAGAACACGCATGTAGTTCTTGTCAAAACTGAGAACGTGGATTCCATCAGGATGAAACACCAGACAAACCTAACTTGACAGTCAGTCCACAAAATAGCAGGCCAGTGCTCTTGAAATATGCCAATGCCACTGAAGACAGGAAATGGGGAACTGTTCCAGAATAAAGGAGATTAAAGACACCGGATCCTGAAAGCAAGGCATGGTTTGGAATTTCCTTTCACTGTAAAGTATAATAGTGGGACAAAGGAAAGGCTCTGAATATGTATCAATGTTAATTCCCCAATACAATTATTACGTGGTTATGCAAGGGAACGTTCTTGCATTTGGAAATACACAGTGAACTGTACCACATAAGGAGACGTGAACTGCCCCACATACAATGACATGAATTGGACAACACAGATGACACAGAAAAAGAGCGACAGAGAGAGCATGAAACTTAATGCTTAGAGAATCTTGACGAAGTAGTATAGAAATACCTTGCACTGTTCTTGAAAAAGTTCTGAAATCATGTCAAAATTAAAAGTAAAACAAAGGGGAAGAAAGAAGGCAGGACTACGACAGGCAAAGGAGAACAATGGCAAAACAACAACCAAAGACCTAGTCCTCCATCTAAAGCAAACCAAGGAATAAGGGATGAAGTTCTCTGGCCAAGAGCCAGCGATGCCCATCCCTCCGCTCACTAAGCAGAGGTTATACTCCCTACTGTAGCAAAACCAAGGAATGGAAAAGA